CCCGTGTCTGAAGCGGGAACACGGCACCGGGGCGGACATCAGCTTCCCGGCAACATCCTCCCAGACACCCACCCACCTCCTTTTCCAGACAAGGTCACGGCGGGGACTCGGGGTGCCCTGAGCCACCTTGGATAGTGGCTAAGGTGGGAGCCGGTCGCCAGGAGCCTGCCCGCGCCCTGAGGCGCACCTCTTCAGACCTGCCACCTGCCGTGGTGACAGAGGGGACTGTGATGGCCCCGCGTGCGGGGCAGGGCATCCGCAGGGTCCCGGTAACGCTGCAGCATTCCCTCCGCAACGCTCCTCTCGGGCCCACGGAACCCACGCTGACATGCAGTCGGATGGAACCGGACAGAAAGGCTGGGCCGGGAGGGGCCAGGCCATGACCAGCTGTGTGGCCTGGAGGAAGTTACCCAGCCTCTCTGGGCCTCAGTTTCTCCATCTGCTAGTGGCTTCTGTAGGACTAGACAAGTCAACATCCTACGGAGAGCAAGCATTCAAAACCGTGGCTTTTATTGTCAGTAATGATCACGGACACGGCATCTCCTGCACGGCCCTGAAGATGCTTTCACACCCTTCACCTCTGGAGCCCGACAATGAGCCTTCACGACAGGCAGACTGCAAAGTCGAGGCTGGGGAGCCGTGTCCCAGCCCCGCCTAGCAGGTCCCCACCAGGAAGTCCAGCAGCCTCGCCACTAAGCAGCCCCCTGCCTCCAGCAGAAACCTTTCCCCTTTTCCCACAGGCTGCCGGGAAGCTCCAGGCTTCCTTGGGGACCTAGGGCATCGGTGCGTCTCTTCCTCCCGTCCTGGCCCAGCCTCTCCCGGCCCAGCACTCTACCTGTGCCCGGCACAGCGGTCCCCACATCCTCGAGCGCCCGAGTCTGACGGAACACACCCTTCTAGACAACCAAGCCCCGCCAGGCTGGGGCAGAGGGAAGGGAAACCCCCACCACCGCACAGGCCGAGTCGAGGGGAGGAGCAGAGAGAACACGGGATTGCGGGGCTGGGGGAGGCGGCCGGACTCCCTTGTGCCCTGGTCGGTGCCTTCTCCGCCCACCCCCACAGACGCCGGCCACTGCATGCAGCAGAGAACGGCCCCTCACTACGGGTTCTGGTGGCTCCCGCCCGCCCCCCAAGTCTGTGAGAGGAGCCAAGGGCCAGGGAGGTGGGTGAGGCAGGCCTGGTTCACCTGCCGACAGGTGTTGCCAGGGCCCAGAAGTGGATTAGCCAACTGCTGTGGGTGGCAGGCGGCAGCGGGCACCCAGCCCCGCAGGTGTGGGCCCCCGCCCCGGTGTGGCTCCCATTGTTACCCTGAGAACGGCTCGGCCCGATGTGACCAGGGGGTGGGGCGCACTGGCCACTTTGATGTGCGGGGAGCCTGGACCCACGCCCCTTCTGTCGTTTCTAAGAGCGTCGGGGTGCCCGTCTCCACTCCCCTTTCTCAGGCAGAGCTGTTCCAACCTTCTCAGAGGAACCGACGATTATCTCCGGGGCAGGAAACCGAACCCTGGCCGTGCGGTGAAACACAAGCCCCTGGGCTGTGCGAGGGCCACATGAAACACCCACTGCTCGCCGGGGCTGCGCTGCGGCTCCCGACAGATTGGGCCCGGTCCTGGCCCCCATGTGGGAGGGAGCCCAGGAGCGGGCTCGGTGGCCCTGCCCCCCACGAGGACACGGGGCCTGCGGCCGGCAGAAACCCTCCTGCAGACATTCACAGTGGGGCCCTGGCCCGGGCCAGCCAGCCCCTCGCCTCTGTGCCTCTGCCAGTGCCCAGCCCTCGTCCACTCCACGCCCCCAGTGTGCCACTGCACCCGCCCCCAGCAGTGCACAGGATTCTCCACGTACATGCCTGACCCCACGCCCCTGCCGGCTGTCACCCCCTCACACCCCTTTGCAGGAATCCCTTGGGGGAGCTGCCAAACTCCTTGTCTTCAATTCCTCCCTCTTGTAGTTTAATATTTTTTAGTTTATAAATTCCTCTCCTTTTTAGTTTAATATTTGGCATTACAGAGGGATGTGCGGGACATACACCTGAATCGGAAGTTCTGAACACGGTGACCATGAGCCCCGCACAGCCAGGAGGGAGAAGGCTGCCCAGAGGTGGCACCGTGTCAACCATGGGCCCCTCTCACTGTCCGTCTCCCCAAGCGGGGGCCACTCTGCGGGATGGCAGGCCCACATGCCCTCGTGCTGTGAGCAGCCGCGCTGCCAATGTACACGCCTTACGGTGGGCTCTCTAACTTTGGTTTTGTTTTACGTGAATACTACTTTGCTGTAGGGAATCTCCTGGAACTTTCTCTGTTCACTCGACACTGTGTTTCTGAGATTCCTTCATGCAGCTCTTCGAGGCTGGAGTGCATCCATGTTCAGCGCTGTGTAATATTCCACTACACGAGTAAATCTCAACCGATGTGTGCACTCGGTTGGGGGCGTTAGGTTGCACCTGGCTCTCTGCCAGTGCTCGCACTGCCCTCTGAACCTCTACCGCCTGGCGCACGTGGGCAGGGCTGCCCCTCAGAGTGTGCCCACAGAGGAAGGTTGCCACGTCCAATCCCCATAAATACTGTCGGACTATTCCCCCAGAGCTGTGTCCATTTCATCACCCTCCGAGGACACGTAAAGGCTTCAGACTCCAGTGGGCAGACTGAACGAGTCAGAAACGTATTCACCTGGACCCGGGGAGACGCTGTCACATGGGCCTCGCTGCCTGTGGCCACTCACCAGTGACAGTGCTTGTGTCCCGTTACGACGGGACCTGCTGGCTTCTCAGAGAAAAGCCCGTTCAAGCCGACTTCTTTCGATTGGTTTGTCTTTTTCTGGCTGATTTGTAGGAGCGCTTTACACGGTCCAGATGTAGGTCCTTGCTCAGTTAGGCCTGTTATTTTCCCAGGCTATGGCCCACCTGTGGACTGTGTCTTTTAAAGAAAGTTCTTAATTTAAGTGTGTCGAGTTTATCAACATTTTCTTTTCTAAGTAAAGGCCACAGGGCTCCTCCTGCCTCTGCTCCCCTGGGTCCCAGCCTGGTGTCCTTACCTCTGCACTGTGCCGGGCGACTCCACTGACCGTCCCTGAGGCCCGGCCGGGGCGCAGAGGGGTGGCCAGAGCCACGGCAGCCATGGAAAACCACAGGGGACTCCGCGGCTAAGGACAGCACCCTCTCTCTGGGTGGCCCTGAGCACCCGGAGCACTGCAGACAGGGCCACCCCAGCGGCCCGACCCCTCACCAGAAGCCACGCCCCAGCTCCGCTCAGCCACAGCTCTCATTGCAACAAAGGCTCGAAGGCGGACACGGTTTGTTCGTTCTGACAGAGAGCTCCCAAGCGTCTGCTCGCTGCCCGTCAGGGCGGGGCCGGTCTCTCCGAGCCGCCTGCCTGGGCCCTGCAGGTCGTCCAGGTATCAGCCTCAGGACAGTAAACATGACAGAGGCTTCTCTGCGCACGAGACGTGAAACGGGCAGGGTGGACCCACGGTGCCGGCGCTGGTGCCCGCACAGGTGCCACCCGGAGCGCTCGCAGAACCAGCCAGGCGCTCAGGCAGGGCACACACAGACCAGCGGCCTCGGCTGGCCTGGGGAAGCAGCGAGCCATCCCCGGGGCTCACGGAGCCCCGCTCTGCTTGCACGAACAATGAGGTCAGCGGAACCTGATCCCGCCGACGGCGGCCCTGGGACCTGGGCGTGGGAACAGTGCGCATGACGCAGGGTCCCGGGGGACTCGTCCTCGCCCAAGACAGCAGGCCCTGTGGGCTTCTCACCTGCTTCTCCATAACATCCTGCCCAAAGGCGGCCTGCAGACGGGGCAGGTCTGGGAGGGTCCTCACAACCCCAACGGCCCCCCAAGCCTGAGGGATGGCAGGTAAGTGCCTGAGACTTCACGTGAACTCAGGGCCAGAAAGTACAAAGTGCACGGACACAAACCACGTCACTGGTACAGGAAACCCCACACCGGGCTTGTGGCATCTTAGAACCTACTCGTTTCGTGGAACTTCCCTTTCACCCCATATCCCAGACAGGGAAGACTGAGGCCTCTTCCGGGGGGGTCAGCACCTGCGCCCGGGCCCCTGCAGTGCCCACGGCAGACTCACTGACCCGTCTCGCACAACAGAGGCTTCGAGGCACGTGGCCAACCACTGAGCTGGCAGTTCAGAGGGAACCGCGTGAGCCGGGTCTGTGGCGGGGAAGGGCCGACGTGGCCGGCCACACGTGGCTCACTCGCCCCTGCACCCGCCCCTCTGCCACACCCTGAGGACACACAGCAGGGCCACCCCTGGCTTATCCATGGCTTTGCGATTGAGAGCAAGGCACCCCGCCCCGCGCAGCCCGCCTGCCCCGCGCAGCCCGCCCCACACAGCCCGCCAGCACAGCCCGCCCTCCCCACGCAGCCCGCCCCACGCAGCCCGCCCCACGCAGCCCGCCCGCGCAGCCCGCCCCACACAGCCCGCCAGCGCAGCCCGCCCAGCGCAGGAACCGCTGCAGGGCCCCGACAGCCCTCCTGGCGCCCCGCCCAGAGAAGAGGGAAGAGCCGCGTCGGCGAAGAAACAGCCTCACGCTTTGCGAGCCGTGTGGACACTGCGTTCTGGCCCGAAAGGAAACACACCGTCACAGCCGTACAAGAGACAGTCCAGACTCACTTCATGGGAAGCCACCAGGACCCGACGGGATGGCCGGGACGGCTGCCGGCGGCCTGTGCGGCCCGGGGGCCTCTGGTCCCTGAAGGCCGCCAGCAGCAAAGGCACCTCGGAAATCGCGGGCGCCCAGGGGCCGCTGCTCCTCGCTTTGCAGGCCGTCTCGAGGGTCCCTGCGGAGTCACCCGCTCTCCGCACTCGGACAGGAAGAGCGGCGCTCACAGGCAGTGCGTGGACGCTGCCGAAGCCCGGCCGCTGAGGCTGCAGACTAGTGCCCGGGGCTCCGCGCGGCCGCGCACACTCGGTCCTGTCCCGCTGCAGGTGGGCGGGGCAGCTCTGTCCAAGGCCCAGTCTCTCCTTCGGGCCGCAGCCGCCTCTGCCCGTGGTCTGCGTCGGTCCCCAGGCCGCATCGCATCCGCCGCCCCCGCCAGGACGGCGCACCTGGACGTCACCTGCACCACTGCAGGTGGGGATGATGCCTCAGCTTCTCCATCAGCTCCTCTTCCGTCGGCTCCTCCAGGACCTCCCTGTGGAATCGGGGGGAGGTGTAGAGGCCCTGGGGCGCAGAGGGAAGGCCCTGGGCCCTCCCCGGAGAGCAGGCGAGCGAGCAGAGCGTGGGGCAAGCCTCGCCCCATGAGAGGCAGGAGAACCCGAGACACGTGCCCAGGGAGTGTGGCAGGGACAGGGGCCAGGACTCAGACATGTCTTCCGGGTGTTTGTGTGTTCTCAAAGCCCGTGGGCTGCTGGCACTGGACAGACAACAGCTGCGACAAGGCAGCCGGCGCCCACAGGGAGACCGGCACTGGGCTGGGCCGTCTCTGGGACGAGGTCACCTTCTGCACCAGGAGAGGACAAGTGTCCACGGAGAGCACGGGGTGGGCTCCTCGGGCCCCGTCCACACCCACCCGCAGGAGCCCCTGGAGACTGACAGCCTGCCGGTGCCTCCTTAGACACGCTCAACTGCAGAGCGGGACCGTCAGGGCTGGGCAGCAGCCGCTGCAGGAGCAGGGACCCCGGCCCTGGACCCCGAGCCCAGCACGGCACCCAGGGTGTGTGGGGATTCCACTGTCCCCAGACACCTGCCCGCCCCCCGTCTCTCCTCCCGCCCCCTCGCCGGGCGGGGCAGAAGGCCCTGCCATCCACACCTGAACAAGAGGTCCACAGTGCTCGTGTCATGGGTGCTCTCCAGGTCCCCGGAGAGGGACGGCAGGTTGCCGCGCCGGTCCCACTTGTGCAGGAAGTTCTGGAAGCGGGGGAGGTGCAGGGAGGCCAGTGGGTGTCGGCCTTGCATGAAGCCGTCTCCCCCACCCTGCCTGGTGTCCACCGCAGGGAGGTGGAAAGCTCATCCCGACGCCTGGGTCCAGGGCCAGCAAGGCCACCAGCTCCGGCAGAAGCCACATGCCCGAGCCTCCGCTAGCCCTCCAACCTCCTCCAGCCCTGGCCCTGGGCCTGAGGACACCCACAGGTCAAATGTCAGGGGTGCTCCCAGGCCCTCCCAGCAGGAGAGCCGTGCTGAGCCCCAGGGATGGACAGAGCCTGAGCTCAGGCCACCGGAACCCAGCAATGAATTTCCCCTCCAGGTCCAGGCGGGCGGGCAGGGGTCGCTGTACCTCCAGAATCAGAGCCAGAAACAGGTTGACCCACAGGACAGAGGACACCAGCCACCACAGCACAAAATAGACCTTGGACCACCTGCAGAGGACAGGAGGGAGCTCGCCCAGGGCCCCGCGGGCACAGCGAGGTGGTCACGGAGCGCGCGTCCCTCGCCCCGCGCCTGTGGCTGCCCGCACTGCCTCCTGCCGCGTGGTCCCGTGAGGATGTCCCCAGTTTAGGAATGACAAAACCGAAGGCCAGAAACAGTCAGCAAGTTGCCCAGCGCAGCAGGGGAGCAGAAGAGGTGGCGCCGGGGCTGTTCTAAGCTCCAGGCTAAACTTCTCCGCTCAGCTCCCCAGACTCAGCCCGGGCACCCAAGGAGCCCCCATCATAGGGTTCCCAAGACCTCTGCTCCCCCCCACCCCAGCGACACCAGGGGGTGTGTCCCGAGTCGTGGGCAAGGGCGCAGGACAGGCACCCACTGGGGCGGAAGGGGAGGAGCCAGCACCGCTCACTCACGGGCCCGCGTAGCGCTGATAGGCGTCCAGGAACACCTGCCAGTTGTTCACCACCATCACGTTCCACAGCGTGACCAGGGCAGCCTGCGGGCAGCGGGCACGGTCCAGGGGGTGTGGGAGGCAGGGAGGCCGGGGGGTCCCGGGGGGCAGGGCGAGGGGCTCACCGCAAAGTCGTCGAAGTTGTTGGCCCAGTACTCCAGCTGCTCGTAGCTCCCGCAGGGCGCCGAGCCGTTGTCAGGGGCCAGGCTGGGGACAGAGCAGCCGGCTCGGGACGGGCCGGACACGCACACCAGGCGCGCCCTGCACCGCCCCAGCCCTGCCCAGCACGGGACCCTCTCTGGCCCCCGAGAAACAGGCCCTCGGAGGGTCCGTGAGGGCAGCAGCTAGAAGAGCTGCGGACAGGGGAACCGCACTCCCGGACAGTGGCCAGCAGGGGGCACCCTCCGCCAGCACGTGGCCTGGCATCCAGGGCCAGCGAGATGTTCAGCACAGACTCTAGGCCGGGGGTTAGGAGGGCGGAGGGGAGGGCGGGGGAGGGGAAGCAGGGAAAGAGAAGGAACAGGAGGCCCTCCTGGGGAGCTGACCCACACGGATGCGGCCCCCCGTGCTCCTTCGGCACCTGCAGGCCCCACCTCACCTGCCATTTCCAGGCACCTTGATGACCCCCTGGAACAGGGTGATGCCAACAATGGCAAAGATGTAGTACACCACCTGCGGGGGCAGGGCCGCGGGTCAGCACCGCCTGCGGACGGACCACGGAGCCAGCCCGGCCACGGCCCCCAACCATGGGTGCTGCTGGCCCCCAGGAACACTGGGGCTCTACTGCCAGGCACCCCTCCTGACCACCAACCTGCCCCAGAGGCACAGAACAGCAGCGCAAGGGAGGAGAGAGGAGCCACTGCAGGGGGAGCCCCGCCGATAAACCGGGGTCTGGGGGGCCGTGGAAGCCAAAGCTGCCTGCCTCCCCCAGGAAGGTGCGGCAGGGCAGCCAGGAAGGTGCGGCGGGGCGGCCAGGAAGGTGCGGCGGGGCGGCATGAGGGCTCCAAGGACAACGGGGCAAGAAGCCGGTCCCAGGGAAGGGGGAAGGCCAGGCCTCTCCAGGAGGAAGTCCCACCATGCTCCCCACATCCACCAGGGGGCGTCCACGCGGCAGCCTCCCAGAGGGGCTGCTGCAGGAGGGAGGGTGGGAGGAGGGGCGCACACCCTGGTAACCCAGCCCCCTTCTGCGCCTCAGTTTCTTCCAGGGCGTGAACAGGGGTCCGGGGAGGAGGGAGATTCTGTCTCTAGCCTCCTGTGACAAGCCCAGAGCGCTGGGCTCCCCTCCCAGGTGGCCCCTCCCATGGTGTCGTTCAAATAGAGGACAGAACGGCCACCAGCGGCAGCACCTATGCAGCAGGGCCTCTACCTCGTCACTGTCACCGAGCCTCTGGTCACCGGGCCTGGGCCTGGAGCAGCTCCAGAGCCCAGTCTGCACAGAGCCCCTGACCAGGCTGGGCCGTGGGCAGAGCCCACAGAACCGCAGGGGAAGGCTGGCCTTGGGGTGGGGGGTGGGGATCACCTTTCCTGAGTTCCTGAAATCCCCCCGAGAAAGGAGCTGACCCAAACCTCCTCTGGGGTCCCTGAGGCCCAGCTCCCAGAGCGCCCCCGACCGTGCAGGCAGCCGGACTCACCACCAGGATCCCGCCGAACGCCCGCATGTTCTTGACCAGGCCCAGGATGGTGCTGGCCACCACTGCCATCAGCTGAGGGCAGAGAGCACGGCCGTCCCTTCTGGGCTCACCCGGCGCCAGCCCGCACACCTGCACGCACCCCACACACCTGCACACACCCCACAGCCACCCTACACTCACGCTTATACACACCCACCTCCAGACACCTCGCCCACCCAGCCTTGGTGGGCCTGGGTTCCCAGTCCCTGTGGGGAGGCCCAGCGGAGAACGCACTGGCCTCCAGCCTGCGGCCGGGTCAGCTCCTCTGGTCTGGAGGCTCCCAGGTCAGCCCCCTGTGGCCGAGTCTGCGAAAGGGGCCTGAGACGCAGCCAGGAACCCATCTACAAGGCTGCCCACCACCACATTAACCTGAGCCATCTCCCCACACGATACATTAGAGCATCATACACGGGATGCTAGCAGGTAGAAACCAGTGTGTGTGCACATGTGTGTGCACGAGTGTACACGACTGTATGCAGTTTGCGGTGTGTGCATAGTTGTGTGTGTGGTACACATGAGTGTGGTTGCAGTGTGTGTGTGGTCATCTTATGGCTACGTGCACGTGCACTGCTGAGTGTGAGTATATGCAATTTTGATGCCGTGTGTGTGATGTGTTATGTGTGTGTAATTACATGTGTGTGGTTGTGTGTGATGTCATGTGTGATTGCTTATGTATAATTATGTGAGTTGTCATGTGTGCATATGTGTGACTTGTATGCTTACGTGTGTTCAGTGCACATGTATGATCACACGTGTGTGCGTGTGACATGCACAGAGGCTTCAGGGCAGCAGCCCACCTGCACCCAGGACCTGAGCTGCCCTCAGGAGGGTGCTCCTGCTGGGTCACAGGCACCCAGAGGGGACGCACGGCAGCCTAGTAGGGAGCACAGGTGTGTTTGAGGAAGGACCTGGACACCAGAAAGGGGCCTGGTGTCCTCGATGTCTTGGCTCTAAGGGTTCCTAGGAACGCAGATGGGGCAGGAAACTGGGCCGGGTCCCTCAGGGTGACCCAACTCCTGGTGGGTACACGAAGGGCAATCGAGGCTCAAACGGCCACGAGACATCCACCCTATACTCGGGCGCATGCTCAGTCCTACCTCCGCCCTTGTTACCAGGAGCACGAAGGAGCCCATGCCCAAGGCCCCTCAGGACACTCGGGGTCACATGGTCCCAAGGGCACCACCCTGCCGCTCACACATGCCAGGGCCCCAAGGCACTCGAAGCTCCCTCTGCCACTGGCCAAGGGCCTCACCCAGTCCCACCGTGCTGACCCATCTCCCAGCCGCAGGGCAGGGCTGGGGGCGCACCCCAGGGCCTAGTCCCACCCCAGGCTCACCCACTCCCTAGACCAGGAGCAGCAGGGGGGCACCCCCAGACCTTCATGCTGGGGATGATGCGCAGGAACCGGAACACAATGAGCATGTTCACCAGGCGGACCATGTCCCACAGCGACAGCAGGCCCTGCATCTCCGGCTTCCTGGGGACACACAGGAGGGGTCGGGAGAGGCCCAGGGCGCCCCAACAAGAACACGGACACGTGTGGCCGATGGACGCAGAGGAGGACAGAGCAGAGAGAGCGAGGGGGAGCGGCGGGAACTCACCCCGTGGCCGACTCCAGCCAGAAGCCCTCCGCTGTGCCGAGGGGCAGAGGCTGAAGCCCGCACCCGCCGGCCCTGGGCAGCGGTGGTCCCAGCACCACCCCTCGCGGAGCCAGAGCAGCTGGCCCCCATCTCACGGGACACGCGAGGCTCCAGGAGAACCGCAAGATGGCCCTTCCCAGTCCTCTGACCCATCCCTGCCCCCTGACCTCGGTCACCTGAACCCATCCCAACCCTGTCTCTGATCTGACCCTGTGCCGAACTTACCCTGACCCTTAACCACATATGTCCCATCCCTAACCCTTCCTCTGGCCCATCTCCCGATGCTTCCGTCCCTATCTCCTGACCCCTGACCTCTCCCTATCCACAACCCGACCCTACCCTGACCCTTAACCACATATGTCCCATCCCTAACCCTTCCTCTGACCCATCTCCCGATGCTTCCGTCCCTATCTCCTGACCCCTGACCTCTCCCTATCCACAACCCGACCCTACCCTGACCCTTAACCACATATGTCCCATCCCTAACCCTTCCTCTGGCCCATCTCCCGATGCTTCCGTCCCTATCTCCTGACCCCTGACCTCTCCCTATCCACAACCCGACCCTACCCTGACCCTTAACCACATGTCCCATCCCTGACCCCGTCCTCTGACCCCGTTTTCCTGTCCCATCCCGTTCCAACCCCTGCCCATCCCCTTGGTGTCCCTCACGGCCTCACCGCGCTCTCAATTCTATGTGAATTTCTAGTTAATTCAAACCCACTCTCAGCCAGGACGTCAGCCCCGGAATTCCCAGACAAAGTGCGCTCTAGACAGGAGGGCCCCGCAGAAGCCTGCTGGCCGGCAGCCCCCCACGAAGCGTCTCACGCAGGGCCCCAGCCTCAGCCACTGAGGACTGCACAGCCCCGACGGTCTTCCCAGGGCCAGCCCCCCAGTGGCTCCCACAGCTCGGCCCCAGGACCAGCCCCCCACTGGCTCCCACAGCTCGGCCCCAGGACCAGCCCCCCAGTGGCTCCCACAGCTCGGCCCCAGGACCAGCCCCCCACTGGCTCCCACAGCTCGGCCCCAGGGCCAGCCCCCCACTGGCTCCCACAGCTCGGCCCCAGGACCAGCCCCCCACTGGCTCCCACAGCTCGGCCCCAGGACCAGCCCCCCACTGGCTCCCACAGCTCGGCCCCAGGACCAGCCCCCCACTGGCTCCCACAGCTCGGCCCCAGGACCGGCCCCCCACTGGCTCCCACAGCTGAGCCTGGGCAGACATCTGTCAGGCCCACTCCCATCTCCGTCCCCGACCTCAGCGAAGACGCACCAGCCGACAGCACCCCAGACCAGCACCCGAGGGCCGAGGCCGGCGTGGGCGCTTGCCGTGGTGGCCGTGTTCCTTCTGGGCAGCGGGACCCTGGCGGCTGCCACAAGCTGCAGGGAAGGTGCCCTGGGACCCTGCGGCGTCCATCCCGTGGCCAGACCAGGTGCCCAGCAGCGGCATGAGAGCTGCGAGCCCCGCCCCCGCATCTCACAGGGCGGTGAGCCGATGCTCAGACCGTCACAGGACTGCCCAGCCAGAGGGGCTGCCGCCCAACTCCTGCCCATGGGTCACCGCAGCCCTGAGCTGGGCCTCTCTGCCCCTCCCTGCTGGGGCTGGCCCAGGTACACCAGGAGGGCAGCCTGACAGCCTCAGCCACTGCTCCGGGAACTGCGTCCTGAGCCAGTTAGGAAACATCAGAGCCCTCGGGGGGCAGGGGCGGCAGAGCCCCATCCACCCATCTCCCTAAGGAGCGGGTGCTTCGCCCCGAGTCCCAGCAGCCCGAGCGAAGGCCCGGCGTGGACGGGGGACACCCTCCCGGGGCACTGGCCAGGCGCGGTCACATACCAGCCTGGGTGTGGAAACCGGTACACAGCCAGCGTTGAGATCTCCAAGACCTTGAATCACAAGAGGGGAGAAGGTGTTGCTACGGCAATGCTAGTCCGGGCGCTTCCAAACGAATTATAAAGCTCAGCCCAGTTCTCCCGAGGGCTTCAGAAGTCGGAGCTCGGTCCTTGTCCCCAAGGGTTGGTGCCAAATGTTGGGACTTCCTGAGGCTGGTCTCAGGAATCGGGCCACACTCAGGAGGGCAAGACAAGGACAAGGCTGGCAGAGTCCGGGCGAGCGGGAAGCTTCTTGGTCGAAGCGTTTCTCTAACGATCTCTGCTCCTGTCCCGAGGGGTCCATGGCTCTCGTCGGTCAAGTATGAACACGTCACGCTGACCGCTGTCGTGACACACGGGACGTGACCCTACCCCCACCCACTGGCTCTGGGAAGAGAGATGGGATATAACCCGAGAACTCCCACGCATGAGACACCGGCCCTCCACCCTCCTCAAGTCTCATGTCCCCAGTGGTGTTAGAGGCTGTGCCCAGGGTGGGGTGGCCAGTGAGGGCCGCGGGCTTCGGGCTCCATCCGGGCCTCCCCCAGGGGATGCTGCAGAAACTCCTGCACCCCACGGGCCGCCTGCCAAGCAGCTCACTGGCGCAGGCCAGCCCAGCCGTGGGTCCTGCCAGGGAAGCGCACACCCACCGCGAGAGGCAATGCTCGGCCACCGCCGACCTTACCAGCAGGATGACAGTGAGGAGGCCATCGAACACGTTGCTGGGGTAGGACAGGTACCCCAGCGGGCCCAGCGCAAACACCTTGAGCAGCATCTCCGCCAGGTAGTACAGGATGAAGACACAGTTGAGAATCTGGAAGGGGCCAACAGGTCCCCAACGCTCAGTCCAGAGCGCCGGCCTCCCCACCCCCACCTGCCCGCCGTTCAGTCTCTCAAACCCTCACTTCCCCCTTGGGTCTCTCTCTCTATAACGACCTCACCTCCGCCGTCCACCCCACTAAGCTCACCAGGGCCCCTGCACCTGGCTCCCAGCCTGCACCAGCCTCAGCCAGCCTCCCCCCAAGGGCCTGCACCCCAGCTCAGCCAGCCCCCCCACGGCCTGCACCCCCAGCTCAGCCAGCCTTCCCCACAGCCTGCACCCCCAGCTCAGCCAGCCTCCCCCACGGCCTGCACCCCAGCTCAGCCAGCCTCCCCCACGGCCCGCACCCCCAGGTCGGCCAGCCTCCCCCCACGGCCCGCACCCCCAGCTCGGCCAGCCTCCCCCCACGGCCCGCACCCCCAGCTCGGCCAGCCGCCCCCCACGGCCCGCACCCCCAGCTCGGCCAGCCTCCCCCACGGCCCGCACCCCCAGCTCGGCCAGCCTCCCCCACGGCCTGCACCCCCAGCTCGGCCAGCCTCCCCCACGGCCTGCACCCCCAGCTCGGCCAGCCTCCCCCCACGGCCTGCACCCAGCCTCAGCCAGCCACCCCCCAAGGGCCTGCACCCCTAGCTCAGCCAGCCCCCCCACGGCCTGCACCCCCAGGTCTGCAGACCCCATGACAGAGCACTCAGCCCTGGAATGGCCCTGCCTCCCAGCAGACCCAGAGCCCCTCACTCTGCTCCGTCCCCCCAGACCGCTGAGCAGCCTCGGGGCTCACCCCCAGGACGAAGTCGTCACGGTTGTGGGGCAGGATGTCCGCGTCCAGCACCAGGAACACCTGTGGAGCCAGAGCGGGGGCAGTCTCAGCCCGGCCAGTGCGAGCCAGGCAGTCGGGAGCAAGGGCGGGAAAGGAGGCGGCTCCGGGGCACTGGAGGGCACGCCCGCACTCACACAGATGGACACGAGGTTCGCCAGGACGATAAAGTTCCCCAGGTAGTCGAAGTAGCGGTGGCCGAAGAGGAACTGGGCACTCTGCAGAAACGGGGACTGGTACTCGGGCAGCGGCGGGTGCTGGGAGGGAACACGCGCTCAGAAATGTGGCCTCTTACTCTGGGACCCAACGCTGCCCTACGTGACCTCCAACCCTGTCTAGCCAGCCCAAGGAAATTGTCTCAAACCCAGAAATGGTTTCATACACAGAAATGTTCATCGCAAATGTCCTTGCAATGCCAACAGGCAGAAATGACCGAGTCGGCTCCTGACGTCAGCAGACCATGGCCATCAGCAGACCATGGCCATCAGAAGTGTGCGCAACATGTTTGCCTGACAGAAGACGTGTCAGGTGGGAAGACAGGGATACATTGTACGCTAACAGCTGTGAGGACTTAGCGCAGAACAAAGAATAAAACAACTCGGTGGTGGGACGGAAGTGGAAAGTGACAGAGGATGCTCAGCCGGTGTGGCTCAGTGGACGGAGCGTCGTCCCATGGACTGAGAGATCCTGGTTCCATTCCCGGTCGGGGCACACGCCGGGTTGTGGGCTCGAGCCCCAGTGGGGGGCGTGTAGGAGGCAACCCATGTCTCTCTCACATCGATGTTTCTATCTCTCTCTCCCATCGATGTTTCTATCTCTCTCTCCCTTTCTCTCTCTAACAACAAAAAAAATCAATAAAAACATTTTTTTTATCCTCACCGGAGGACACGTTTGCATTTATCTTCAGATACAGAGGAAGGAGAGAGGGGAGAGAGAGAGAGAAACATCAATGTGAGAGAGACGCATCGAGTGGCCGCCACCACACAACCCCAACCGGGGCAGGGACAAACTGCAACCGAGGTACGTGCCCTTAGCGGAACCGAACCCGGGACTCTCTGGACCACAGGCTGACGCTCTAACTGCTGAGCGAAACCGGCCAGGGCTAAAAACATTTTTTTTTAAAGTAACGGAGGGCAAGCTGGCAATAAACACGAACGGGAAACACACGGAGGGGCCGCAGGTCCGCCACTGCGGCACCAGGCGTGACAGCAAACAGGGAACTACCCAAACGTGACCTCTGAGTGGACGGGGACGCAGCGGAGACAGAGCGCGAGTCCCAACGCCGTCCCCCACGACGGCCCCTGAGCACAGGGCTGTGTGATCCACAAGCAATCGGATGAAACACCGGGCCCCCCAGCACAGTCACTTCTCCAGGTCTCCACAGACAAACGTGACCTGTGGCCACCGTACCCGAGGCAGGTAGAGGGCATTTCGTCCTCAGGAACATGGACAGACCTAGGAGACGCTGCAGCGAAAGCTACGTCACCTCCTGGAGATGCCCGGAGAAAGGGTTTCCTCGGGTGTGTGTCTGCCCGCAGTCACAGGGCGGGCGCAGACAAACTGAACGGGCGGCTCTTCCGGGGGGGGGGGCGGCTGCTGTGCTGCTCTCACGCTACTGCCTCTGGGCTCCCACTGCACCTGCGACGCCCGCGCCTCGTGACGGTGAGCACGAGGTCAAGGCTCCTCGGCAGAGGATGCTCGAGGGACACTGAGGGACAGTGAGCTGGTCGGCCGTCCCGGCCACACACCCTAGCATCTGTCTGCCCCCTGCAGTCAGCATTTGGGGGACGAGGGTGTCAGCTCAGCTCTGCAAACCTCTAGGACCAAACTCCCCTCCGAACACGGTGCTGGACTTTAGACCCAGGGCGCTATGGGAAGACGGAACACCCCAGGGGCCACGGCAGGAAGATGTCCGCCTGGGGCCCCAGACCACCTGCTGGGCCCCACTGAAGAGCATGGACACCCCAGCGACGGCGGGCCAGCTACGCAGCCCCTGCACGACAGTGAGCAGGGCCCACCGCAGGTGACCCGCAAAGACTAGGAAAACGCGTCCTGGAGAAAAACCACCTCTGACAGGAGCCGGCGGCCGCGGGGGCAGCACGGACGCCGAGAGGTTGACGACGGTCCCGCCAAGTCTTAGGTTGGAGTCCTGACCCCCAGAACCTCAGAGTGTGACTGCACTTTAGAAAAAGGGCCTTTGAAGAGGCATTAAGATAAAAGGTCACAAGGATGGGCCCCAAGGCCATAGGACTGGCGTCCTTACATGTACATGAAGAGGAGACCAGGACACCCGCCCTCAGAGGGGGGCCCTGTGGGGACGCGGAGAAGACGGCAGCTGCAAGCCAGGAGGGGCCTCGAGGGAACCAGCCCTGTGGCACCTGGATCTCAGATTCCAGCCTCCAGGACGGGACAGTCAATCCTATTGTTTAAGCCACCTGGGCGGTGGCACTGGTCACGGCAGCTGAGCTGATTCCACAGGGACACAGCCGTGCGGAGTCGCCAGCAGCTGTCGGCTCCCACCTCTGCCCACCCCAGGAACCCACTACATAAACCTAGGCTGGGGGCTTGGGGGGTCTTCTGGACATGGCGCTGAGCAGGTGCCAACGCCCATCTGATGACTATAAACCAGCGTCAAGACAAACACCAAGGCTGACAGACTCAGGAACCCCCGCAGGACATGGGGAGGGGGAGAGTTTATCATGAGGCAGAGAAAACCACTCTGAAGGTTCCTCTGTGCATTTCATGAGGTCAACCATCTTGCTCCCATTTACCAGCCTTGGGGCCAGAGCCCCTGGCAGGTCGGCCCTGGCGCCGGTCGCTGTTACCCAGGTGGTGGGGCCCTCAGACGCGGCAGACGCCCCCACTAGCCCGGGAGCCCTGGCCCGTTACCTCTCTGGTGACACTCTTGTCAAGCTCGTTGAAGAGTTTCTGGAAGTCGTTGGCGGACAGCAGGCCGTGGCCATGGGCTCGCACCTTCTGCAAACGGAGCCGGTCAGCCGGGCCAGCCAGCGCCGAGGACGAGGCCCAGGGCAGGAGCGAGCCGCCCCAGCCCACCTGATGGCCCAGCCCGGCTACTCTGAAATGAGACCCCTGCCCGAGAGGGGGCCGCTGGCCCACCTGACCGCCGGGAGGAGCCCTGAAGCAGGCTGGGTGGCCGGGGAGGCCGGGAGGGTGGGCGCTCGTACCTCCAGCAGGGCCTGCTTGCGGGTGCTGTCCACCTGCACCTTCTGAAGCGCCTGCAGCAGGTCCTGGGCCTTCACCCCAGCGCTGTGGGAAGAACACCCGCACTGAACTGGGCGGCCCTGGGGTGACGAGGCCTCCAGGGGGCGCTGACCAGGGCAGGGCGCTACGGAGCACCGGGGTAAGAGCCTCCCAGGCTGACCGCCTCCAGACCCGGGCACGGTGACACGGGGTGCAGGAAGGGGGCAGGAAGGCAAGGGCACGGTGGGTGAGCAGGCAGCTCCCGGAGGACCGTCACCAGAGGCAGGGACGCCGGGGCCGGGGCCCGTAGCGCCTGGCGGAGCAGCGGAGCCCACAGGGAGCTGGCGGGGTGGCGCACAGCACGCACCCGATGACACCGCCGCCTCCCCAGGGAAAGGGGTCCTGGAGCCCAGCACTCACCCCTGCGGGTGGGCTTGTCCCTCTGCCGTCATGGAGAGGACCTCGTAGGCAGCCCGGGTCCCCAGCCGCTTCCGGAACAGTGAAGCCTGGACAGATTTCTGCAAGGAGAGTGGCCCGGCTCAGCCCACCCAGGCCCCAGGAGGGCTCAGGGTGCCCTGTGCACCCCCCGCCTGGGAGCAGCCCCTCACTCCGCGGGTATCGGAGGAACAGTCAGACTCCAAGGCCAGTTTGCCGGCCGTTGGCTGTGTCATTCACTAGGGCCTGTGTTTCTTCTCAGCACAGTTGGGGTCCCCAGCTCTCCCATACAGAGGGCTTGGGGTCAGTTACCCCGGAGCTGTACCTTCCCTTAGAGGAAAGGGGGCAAGGGAAGGAAACGGGTGGCCCTGGGGACAGTATCTGACAGGTGGGGACCAGGAGATATGGGAGGTGGCACAGCTGCAGCTCATCCACAAGAGGGAGCCAGAGGGCACGGACCAGCGGGACCTGGCCCAGCCTACCCTCCCACACCAGGCTGCCCAGCTCCGCGGGGCCTGCAGGCCAGCAGCGCGCTCACCAGCAGGTAGCCCCGGAACTGGTTGTAGATGATGGCCGTCAGCAGGTTCATCAGAAACAAGCTTCCTTCGGGAGGACAGCGCCAGTCAGTGGGGAGTAGCGGCTCCGGGGCCTAGGGCAAGGGGCGGCGCCCAGAGGGGCACAGGGGCACACAGGCACAGCAAAGAGGGCCCGACGATCGCAGAGCAGGGCGTGGGCCTGGGAACGTCGCCCGGCCTCCCTGTCCTCATCCAGACAAGCAAGTGCCACCTGGCCACTAGCCCTGGGAGCTGAGGACAGAGGTCAGCAGTGGTCACAGACCGCAAACCATGGCCACACTGAGCTGAAGTCACGGGTCAGGCATGACACCTACCTCTGAGCATCTGGGATCCTGTCACAAGGGACAGCATCTTACCTCGGTGACCCCTACAGACCCGCCTGGACTCACCTATCAGGGTGAACACTATGAAGAAGATGGCGTAGGAGCGGTTCTTGGAATACGCAGGAATCATGACTGAGAAAGAAAGAGGAGAAACTAAAGCACTCAGCCTCAGCACTAGTCCCAGTCCTGCCGTGACCCATCCCTGCCTTTGCGGGACAGAGGCTCTGCTTTGGGAGACTGGGAGGCCTTCTGGTCCAAGCTCCAACCCTCAGGCCTCTGCTTGCATACCCATGGTCATGGGGAGCTCACTACCTTTCAAGGATGTTCATCCCTCATCCTGAGCTAAAATCTGCCCCTTGTGACCACTCCCCACAGACTGCGAGCTCAGCTCTCCCTTGGGTGACTCGTTAGACGGGACACCTGGGGACACTGCTCAGGATCCCCGTGCACAGCTCGGAGGGTGGAGCCAGGGCTGCCCTCCTGGGAAGGTCACTATGGTCAGTGACCATCCCGAGCCCAAGATGGAAAGACCAGCCAGGTGGCCAGGCCACAGTTGAGCCTTAGAGGACTACAGCTCCCCGTCTTGGCTATACCCCAGCAACCCAAAGGGAGCGCCATGGCCACCAGACCCTGGGGCCTCACACATGGCCCAAGTCGCACTTCACATCTAGGGAACCGGGGGGACCCCCTGAACACAAGGCCATTTTTTTTTATCCTCACCCGAGGACATTTTTCCATTTTTTTGTTCAGATAGAGCGGGAGGGAGAGACAGGAAGAGAGAGAGAAACATCGATGTGAAAGGGACACATCGAGTGGCTGCCACCCGCACGACCAACCAGGGCCGGGGACAAACTGCAACCGAGGTACATGCCCTTAGCGGGAACCGAACCCGGGTCTCTCTGGACTGCAGGCCGACGCTCTAACCTCTGAGCCGGCCAGGGCCACAAGGCCATTTGTTACCACATCAAGAACACCACTCATTTGCAGCTTCTCAAAGGAGACAGAGTTAAAGGGAGGGAGCAAGTTCTGGCCCGTCTGGCTCAGCAGTTAGAGCGTTGGCCCTCGGACCAAAGGATCACAGGTTCGATTCCCACTCAAGGGTACGTACCTGGGTTGCAGGCTTGATTCCTGGACCCCACAGCCATGTGGGAGCAACCAATCAATGTCTCTCTCTCACATCAATGTTTCTCTCTCTCCCTTCCTCCCTTCCACTCTACTTAAAAATCAATGGGAGCCTGGCCGGTGTGGCTCAGTGGTTGAACATCAACCCATACACCAAGAGGTCTCAGGTTCGATTCCTGGTCAGGACACATGCCCAGGTTGTGGGCCCAATACCCAGAGAGGGGCACGCAGGAGGCGGCCAGTCGATGTTCTCTCTCATCGATGTTTCTGTCTCTCTCTCCCTCTCCTTTCCTCTCTCTCTAAAAAAAAAAAAAATCAATAAAGGAAAAAAATTTTCTTTTAATCAATGGGAAAAAAATATGTATCCTCCGAGGAGAATTAACCAAACCAAAAAAAGGAGGGAGTGAGAAAGTAAGATGAAAATAGAAAAAAAAAGGGAAAAAATAAGGAAAAAAGAGGGGAAGGAATCAGGAAAGGAGGGCAGGGCAGGAGGGAGGGGACCCTCGCCATCCTGCTTCCCTCCACCAGGAGGGCTGGGGCCTTAGCCTGCCGGCCCTCGGCTCAGCAGTAACCCAGCCTCCCCCTCCCTTGCCGGCCCAGCCCGGCCGCTCACGCACCGTCAGGGTTGTTGGCGGTGGTCAGCAGCACCAGGAGCGACGTCAGGGCCTCTGGCAGGTTGCGGAAGTAGGTCAGCCTCTCCCGGTCCTGCCCATCGTCCTGCTGAGGGCAGACCCAGCTGCTATGAGGGGCCAAGTGGGCCTTGTCCCCAGCAGCTAAGGCCACAGGCCGGCAGAGCTCCAGGCCTTGGACCCGACCAGGCGGGACCACCACCATGGCCTCGGCCGCCCCACCTCATCTCCCCATCATTTCCCAGCAGGCTCTGCTCGAGGCTGGACAGCACCAAGCTCAAGGCCTCCAGGCCCAAGAGCCAGCATCCAGGGAAGCTGCACACCAGCACAGCCACTGCCAGCTTGGGTCAGCCCAGCCGACCCTGTCAGGGCCCAGAGACCAAGAGACCACATGCAGGGCAGCTGGCCTGCTTTCAGCCGACTGCCATGCGCTGCCGGGTGCCGAGGCCGCCCGGGCCGGGCAGCAGAGGGGACACGCTTCGGGGGACCCACAGCCGACTGCCATGCACTGCCGGGTGCCGAGGCCGCCCGGGCCGGGCAGCACAGGGGCACGCTTCGGGGGACCCACAGCCGACTGCCATGCACTGCCGGGTGCCGAGGCCGCCCGGGCCGGGCAGCACAGGGGCACGCTTCGGGAGACCCACAGCCGACTGCCATGCACTGCCGGGTGCCGAGGCCGCCCGGGCCGGGCAGCACAGGGGCACGCTTCGGGAGACCCACAGCCGACTGCCATGCGCTGCCGGGTGCCGAGGCCGGCCTGGGCCGGGCAGCACAGGGGCACGCTTCGGGAGACCCACAGCCGACTGCAAGGTGGGCCGGGGAGCTGGAACTGGAGGGGCCTGTGGGCAGCCTGCTCTCCTCACCTCGGGGCCTCACCTGCCTCGGCGTGCGTGCCTGGGGACCCACTGGGCTCGTGGAGCCCACAGCTGCGGGCGTTGCACTCACAGCCATGGTTTCTCACCGCCATGGGCAGGAGGTAGCGAGTCTGGGCCCCTCCCCTCTCCCTGGGGTGGGCCCTCCCCTCTCTCCCTGGGGTGGGCCCTCACCTTTCCTGACCTGTTCTCTGGTCAGGCTGGAGGGGGCCTGAGGGGCCGGAGGACAAGAAACCCACACAGGTGGCCAGAGTCACGCTCTGCTCTGAACTCCGCCAGCGGGAAGGGCACTGGACCCTCCCACAACCACAGCCCAGGGGGCCCACCCCAGGCAGAGAACACGACCAGCAAGGGGCCAGCCCTCTGGGCACCTCGGGACACGGCATCCCAGGCCAGAGGCCCACCCACCCTGGCTCCTCGAGGCAGCAGCCAGGGCAGTGCTGTGGACGGCACTGGGGCCTGAGATTGTTAGCTGCCCCCGACACACACACACACACACACACACACCCCTGGCTCCTCGAGGCAGCAGCAAGGGCAGTGCTGTGGACGGCACTGGGGCCTGAGATTGTTAGCTGCCCCCGACACACACACACACACACACCCCTGGCTCCTCGAGGCAGCAGCAAGGGCAGTGCTGTGGACGGCACTGGGGCCTGAGATTGTTAGCTGCCTCCGACACACACACACACACACACACACACACACACCCCTGGCTCCCCCCACCCAGGCTGAGCAGGGCAGTCCTCAGCCTTCCCCCGACACACACACACACACACACACACACACACGCACAGCTGGCTCCCCCCACCCAGGCTGAAGGGGCAGTCCTCAGCCTGCCCTCCTGGGCTGCAGAGCACCAGCCCCCAACACTGTTACAACCTGATGAAGACCAGCCCTGACCGAGCGCTGGCCACATTCCCCGGCCACAAATGCGGGGTAGCGACCCTGGCCAGGAAGTGAGCACAGACACACAGGACCACAGAAGTGGGGGGCGATGGCAATGGGGGGTGCCAAGCCAGGTAACAGGGACTGATGGCCAGCCAAGTGGCAGGTGGCAGGCACCTCCACACAGCAACAAGCTGCTGGGAGCCAGGAAGCAGGGAGGGAGGGCGATGCCCACGCTGGAGAAGAGGGACGTGGTGAGATGCCTGCTGGACAGAGGGACAGGTGTTGGGAGAGAGGACGGGTGGTGGGGCCATCCTGATGACCCCAAGTGCCAATCGGAAGGCCTGCTGGGAGGGGTGCAGAGAAAGCCCCGCCCGTGGCGGGAGGGGAGGAGGGGCAGCCGGCAAAGCCGTGCGTGCCTGAGCCCGGGAGGCCCGGGGAGGCCAGTGCGCTGGCAGGGGAGCGGGGGGACACTGTGGTGAGCCACCGCTGGCCCTGGGGACACGGTGGGCAGGTGGTCCTCATCTCGCCCGGGAACTCCCGGCCCGTCCTCGCGAGCAGGGCGGGGCAGCGGAGGGCCCACCCCTCATGGTGAGCGGGGCGGAGCAGCGGAGGGCCCGCCCCTCATGGTGAGGGGGCGGAGCAGCGGAGGGCCCGCCCCTCATGGTGAGCGGGGCGGAGCAGCGGAGGGCCCGCCCCTCATGGCGAGCGGGGGCTGGGCAGCGGAGGGCCCGCCCCTCATGGCGAGCGGGGGCGGAGCAGCGGAGGGCCCGCCCCTCATGGCGAGCGGGGGCGGAGCAGCGGAGGGCCCGCCCCTCATGGCGAGCGGGGGCGGAGCAGCGGAGGGCCCGCCCCTCATCAAGAGCGGGGCGGGGCAGCGGAGGGCCCGCCCCTCATCAAGAGCGGGGCTGGGCAGCGGAGGGCCCGCCCCTCATGGCGAGCGGGGGCTGGGCAGTGGAGGGCCCACCCCTCATGGTGAGCGGGGCGGAGCAGCGGAGGGCCCGCCCCTCATGGTGAGCGGGGGCGGAGCAGCGGAGGGCCCGCCCCTCATCAAGAGCGGGGTGGGGCAGCGGAGGGCCCGCCCCTCATCAAGAGCGGGGCTGGGCAGCGGAGGGCCCGCCCCTCATGGCGAGCGGGGGCTGGGCAGTGGAGGGCCCACCCCTCATGGTGAGCGGGGCGGAGCAGCGGAGGGCCCGCCCCTCATGGTGAGCGGGGGCGGAGCAGCGGAGGGCCCGCCCCTCATCAAGAGCGGGGCTGGGCAGCGGAGGGCCCGCCCCTCATGGCGAGCGGGGGCTGGGCAGCGGAGGGCCCGCCCCTCATGGCGAGCGGGGGCGGAGCAGCGGAGGGCCCGCCCCTCATCAAGAGCGGGGCAGGGCAGCGGAGGGCCCGCCCCTCATCAAGAGCGGGGCTGGGCAGCGGAGGGCCCGCCCCTCATCAAGAGCGGGGCTGGGCAGCGGAGGGCCCGCCCCTCATCAAGAGCGGGGCTGGGCAGCGGAGGGCCCGCCCCTCATGGCGAGCGGGGGCGGAGCAGCGGAGGGCCCGCCCCTCATCAAGAGCGGGGCAGGGCAGCGGAGGGCCCGCCCCTCATCAAGAGCGGGGCTGGGCAGCGGAGGGCCCGCCCCTCATCGCGAGTAGGGAGGCGGAGCAGCGGAGGGCCCGCCCCTCATCGCGAGCGGGGGCTGGGCAGCGGAGGGCCCGCCCCTCATCAAGAGCGGGGGCTGGGCAGCGGAGGGCCCGCCCCTCATCAAGAGCGGGGCTGGGCAGCGGAGGGCCCGCCCCTCATCAAGAGCGGGGGCTGGGCAGCGGAGGGCCCGCCCCTCATCAAGAGCGGGGCTGGGCAGCGGAGGGCCCGCCCCTCATCGCGAGCGGGGCGGGGCAGCGGAGGGCCCGCCCCTCATCGCGAGCGGGGCGGGGCAGTGGAGGGGTACCTTCTCGCCCGTGAAGAGCAGCATCCCGAACATGGTGAAGACACACAGATGCAGCGCCAGCAGCAGCACCACGCTGGGAGGATGGACACAGGCACTCAGCACCGGCAGACGCCCACAGGCCAGCCAGGATGGGGACCCAGGACCCGGCCGCCAGGGAGCTTCCTGCAGCGGGCCCCCGGGGCAGGTCCCTTCCTCTGCCCACACTGCCATGCGCCCGGCGTGGGGTCCTGCCCTACTGAGCCTCTTTGTTTGGCAGGGACTATCCACAATCCAGGGGCATGGACCCCAGGGACTCAGGGAAAAGCCCACTTCCATCCCCCTGGGCTGGACGGTGAGGGGTCAGTCACATGAGCCAGTGGAGGCGGGGACTGGGGGGCAGGTGTACAACTGGGGGTGGGGTGAAAGGAGAGCAGGAGGGACGGGAGCAGCACAGTGGGGACGGGCCCCCAAGACTCGGCAGCTCTCCAAGCTGTGCAAGGCTGCTAGGGTGCTACCCGAAACGAGGGTGGGTGCAGGCAGAGGGACCCGCCCACCTGGCCATCTCCGGCAGCGACCACCTGATGCACTTGAGCGTCTTCTTCATCATGGAGGAGTTCTGCAGCAGGAAGAAGGGCCGCAGCAGCCGGCGGAGCCGCAGGGGCTGGAAGAGACCAGGACACTGAGTGCCAGGGCCAGGCTCGCAAGGTCCACCCCATACCTGCCATGGTAGCTGGGCAAACAGCAGAGACCCCAGCACCTGAGCCCGCCCAGGCACGGCTCCCAGCTCCCGGTCACATCCCTGGCTTAGACTCAGCAGTCAGGGTTCCCAGCCTGCAGACAGCCAATGCCCCTCCCAGAGAGGCGCTGCACAGGCTCTCACAGGGGCTGCCCCACCCTCTGTGGCTTTGCCTCCTCCCCTCCTCAGAGAAGCAAGCTGCCCAGGAAACACACCCTCCCCATGTGCACACATGCAGGTGCACACACCACACACGTGTGCGCACATGCTCTACACACACACACACACACGTGCACACACATCCTCGCCTTCCCCTCATCCCACTGGTCAGAACCAAAGGGCCCTCCAGCCCCGGCTGTCCTCAGGACCCCCAGCCCACCCTCCTACACAATGCAAGTCTGAACACCTTCACTTACCCTGTGTCCCAGCTCCTGTCCCAGCTCCTGCCCCAGCCAATCAGTCCCCGTCCAGGCCTCCAGGCCTCGGAGCCCAGGGTGGCGTTCGGTCCACTGGCCTTGGGCACCATGGCCGCCTCTCCCTCCACCCAGCACCTCGGGCCATCTCCTGGGTGCCTGACCCAAGTCCCGCCTCTCCGTCCTCTGGCCCACACCCTGGTGACCTTGTGGGTTTTGGTACCACCTTTCTGCTCTGGACTCCCAAGTTCAACCTCTACTCCCAGCTCCCCACCCCAGACCACGTCCTCCGGGCCGACCTGTCAGAAACACAAGGCTGCGGCATCGCCCCGCTGCCCAGCGCCCACGGCTGCCTGGAGGCCAGTCCAGCGCCACACTGGGCCGCCCCTCGTCAAGCCGCTCAGCTGCCTGGCTGTCCCCAGCCCTCCCATCTCGGAGGCAGAGCCCCTCCTCAGGCTGCCTTGGGCCCTTTCCTTGGCACTTCGAGATCCCATTAGGCATCTGTGTTTCCTGGGACGGTGGGTCTCTCCCAACAGAACAAGGGCCGGCAGCACCAGCACATAGGAGGCCCCCCACATCCCGGGGCTCCCTGCGCCCCCTGGGCCACACTCCTCCACACAAGGACCCCAGCGCCCGGCACAGCACCACGAAGGCCGGGGGACATGTGTGCGGACACCCACGCACCCTCGATCCGCTCGCTGCCCCTGCACAGAAGCTCCCGTCCAGGCCCAGCCCGGAGTCCTTCAGCCTCCCTCCAGGCCAAGCAGGAGCCGACGGTCCTGCCGGCACGCCAGGGGCTCAGACCCTCAGCTGTGGTCAGGCACAGACCAGAGTGCAGCTTCGCTCGGACACAGTAACCCAGCCCGAGAGCCCCCGACGCTGGGGCCACGTCAGCTCAGACGCAGGGACACCCGGCCCTCACGGAGGGCGGGAGCTGTGCCCACGGGGCTCCCTGCGGGAGGAGCCAGCCCAGCCAGCGAAGCCCTGGCAAGGCCCCCTCAGCACTCAGCCCAGGTCCCCCGGCCTCAGAGAGCACCAGGTGACCTACACTCGTCCTCTGAGGAGCAGCCATGGCAGAGCCGTGACCATGGCCCATCAGGTGACTGGCAGCCCGTGTGTGACCTGACCACTCGGCCACAAGCTAGGGGAGGAGCAGGCCACCAGTTAAGACATGGAGATGAGACTGGACTCAAGCAGGTCAGAGGACCCCGGACCGCCCCAAGAGCCCCAGTGCCCATGGGAGGCCACTGGCCACGGAGACACACCTCGGCCTGGTTTGCAGACGGGTCCGGGTACTGAGCCGGCCCGAGGCGGCGCCGAGGAAAGCTGTGCCAGGGGCAAGGGTCACCTCCTGGGTGGTCAGGGGCCTGGAGGAACACACTGGGTGGCTGGGGACCAGGAGGTCTGAGGAGGACGCGTGTGGACGGGCAGTGAGCGCCACCACGGGGATCCCCCAAAAGAGGCTCTCTGGACAGGAAGACCGGTCCCGTGGATGTCCCTGAGCCCCTCAGCCACCCCGCTTCGATCTCCACCATCCACACACAAAGTGGCCACAAAGGCAGGGACCGAGGCCACTACCGAGGGCCCCCCTGCCAGAAGCAGAGTCCAGTCTGGCCCCCATGTGGCCCCTGGCAGGTGGGTGACTACACAGGCCCTCCCCGTGCAGGGCCCTGATCTGTCCCCACCGGACAGACAGATGTACAGGTCGGGGCTCTGCCCACCCTGCCCCAGAGGTCTCTCCCAGGACACCATCCAAGCTCGGGCCCAACACCAATTCAGACCCAGGCACAGCTCTGCAGTCGCCCCCCCTCCCCCCAGGACCCCTCGCCCAAAGTAGTGAGGAAGGGCCTAGCCCGGCCCAGCCTGGGCAGGCTCAGCCAGCGGGCACACCTCCCTTCCCCACCACAACGCCGGACCTGCTGCTCATAGCCGCCCGTTTCCAAGGGGACGTTTCCACCAGGGACACTCCGTGACTGTCCGTGTAAAGGGTTGGGTGCCGGCAGCGTGAACTGGGGAGCTACTGCCAAGGGGGACAGGGAGGTCTAGTGTAAGGGACCCTCCCAGGTGCATCCAACAGGAAAATCCAGTGATCAAAAAGGCAGGACTGTGCCCCAGCTGGTGTCAAGGGCTCATACCTCCGTTGCAGGTTTGATCCCTGGCCCTGGTTGAGGTTGTGCACGAGGCAGCCAATCAATGTGTCTCTCTCACATTGATGTGTTCTCTCCCCCACCCCCACCTTCCACTCTCTAAAAAAAAAAAAAACTCAATGGAAAAATATCCTTGGGTGAGGATTAACAACAACAAAGGCAGGACCACCGAGAACTCAGGCCCCTCAGAAGTGAGTGTGGGCCCCCCGCCAGATAAAGAACCCAGACACGCTGGGGAGCACGGGAGTGGGGAGCAGGAGGAAACTACATTCAGCAGGACCCGTGACCAGCAGCAACATACATGTTTGTACATGTTAACCAATCTTCCTAGTTTCATGTAAGGGCCATTTAGGCTTGAAGTGACCGCGTGTTCAAGTGCCAATAAGAGGGACACAATGACCATCACTCAGCAATGGAGCCAGCGGAGGCCGGGCCAGTCTCTGTTCCCTTTGGAGGGCGGGCTCTCCCTTGTGGGCAGGAGGACAGCATCCTCTTAGGGAAATTGTGAGCTGAGTGCTGCTGCAGGAAAGTGGGAGGCGGCGTGTGGGTGCTGAGACCCGCCACTGGCATTTCTCCTTCATCAGATGCTCCCCGCTCCATTCTGTCAGTGGGGTCACTGGAGGGAGCCAGGGGGCAGGAGGGGGACATGGGACCTTTCTGTTCACCTGTTGCTCCTGCAGCGCATGGGGCTGCCAGCCTCCCTATGCTTTCTGTGCTCCCAGAACCAACCTCATCCAGCCTCTGGGCAGCACCAGCACCGGCACTGGTGCCCAGGAAGTGGCCCTCCCCAGAGGTCAGAGGGCAGGCTCCAGCTCTGGGAGCCCTGGGGGAGGGGCCTCGCAGTTCTCTCTGACTCCGATGGGTCTCCTTTCTGCTCTTTTGGAGACTCAACGCCTGCTTAAGTCCCTGCATGAAACTCCTTCCACTAAAGCACCTGGTGGGCTTCTGGCTTCTGGGTCCCTGACCAGTCCTGACGGATACAGATGTCCCCAAACCACCTTTGCCCAGCTCTGCGCTACCAAGTCACAGGGCTCCTGGCTGTTCTTCGGGGAAATGGAGAGGCGAGGCTGGGCGGAGGGTGGCCGGCTGCAGGACCTCAGGACAGTGCCCAGCGCTCGCCTGGGCAGCTCTGCACGCGGCAGCCTGCCCAGAGCTCCCAGCTCCCGCCGGGGAGCCGCCGCACACCTACCTCCTGGCAGAGGAGACTCAGCGACACCATCCAGTCCACGAGAGACAAGACCAGCACCATGAAGTAGGCCAGCAGCCAGAGGCTCTTCCGGAACTGGGCCCATCCCACGAGGTAGCTCTGCGAGAGAGAGGGGGGTGAGCGGGTGCGCAGGGCCAGGCTGGGTGGTCAGAGCACAAGGCACCTCAGCAAGCAGCGTGGTCTCCACGTGACGTGGGGAACAGGAAGCCGAGCTCCCTCCCAGCCCCCCAGTGGCCTCAGGCAGCCAGAGACCTTGAGCTTGGTGCTTAGCAGCTCGGATGCTGGTTTTCTCGTCCTTAACCAGGCCCAGCCCGCTCTGCCCATCCAACCATCAATTTAGTTTGTACAGCAAAATGCAAAGGCGCAGGACTCAGCGTTTTTGTTAACCGAGGGGGGCGGGTACCTCCTCAGCTCCACCATCACACCAGGTGGCCTGGGAGGACGGGATTTTGTCCCCGTCACCTACCCCTACCTCCCATATCACTGGCACCTTCAGAAGTCACAGCTTGTGGATAAAAAGATCATCCTCTTTTGAGATTTCCCGAAATGCCACCATTCAAACTGAGGACTTCTCACCAGTTTCAGTTCCAGTTTAAAACCCCCAAGACCTCCTAACCACAAAATAGGACAAAAAGAAGAAATAAGAAACTTCCTCGGGCCCTCAGTGCCCACGCCTCTCTTGGTCAGCACCCAGCAGGTCTCCCAGTCAGGCCAAGGGCACCTCGTGACTGCAGCCCGCAGGCAGGGAGCGCACCCCGCGGGCCCAGACAGCAGCAGTGGCACCCTTGCTCAGCGGAGGTCACAGCCGGTGGCAGCAGCGAGACCCAGCCCTTCAGGCTCCGAAGCCTGGACACCAATCAGAAGCTCAAGTGGGCAAGGCAGGCCCGGCTCCAGCTTCTGGCAGGACGTGGGTCACAGACAGACCCAGAGTCGGACGCGGGGCACAGGGGTGGCAGCGGCATGATTAGCAGACCCCTTCCCACCCTCGCCCAGCTCCTCGCCTGCGCCTCTCCACTCGGGGCGAGAGAGTGGCCGGGAGCGCTCCTCACTCCCACAGGTCCTGCAAGGCTGTGCGCCCCTGCTGGCCACCCAGACTGTCACCTCTCTGAGGGACACAGCCTCTGCTCCCAGGCCCAGAATTCTCTAAGAACTGAGGTCCCCGTCCGGCTGGCCACGAGGCAGAGCGCTCGGGGCCCTGGAAAGCACTCAGAGGCCAGCCAGCGGCTCGGCTGGCTGGCACATCACACTGTACCCCCGAAGCTTACGGTCCAACCCCCAGTCTGGGTGCACGTGGAAAGCAACCTACTGATGTTCCTCTCACACTGATCTCTCTCCCTCTTCCCACCCTCCTCTCTCTCTAATATATGTATTAGAGAATATTGGGTGAATATTAAAAATAAAAATAGTAACCCTGCTGGTGTGGCTCAATGGCTGAGCGTCGACCCATGTACCAGGAAGTCGCAGGTTCAATTCCCAGTCAGGACACATGCCCAGGTTGTGGGCCAAATCCCCAGTGGGGGGCGTGCAGGAGGCGGCCAGTCGATGTTCTCTCTCAATGACGTTTCTCTCTCTCTCTCCCTCTCCCCCTCTCCCTTCCTCTCTCTCTATAATCAATAAAGAAAAGAATTTTTAAATAACTAGATACAAACAGAAGCTACTAGGCGGTCAGAGGGCAGCGCGCGGGGCGGCCCGGCGCGCACCTTCACGGCGAGGTCGGCCGTGAAGACCAGCAGGCAGAGGGCCTCCACGCTCTCGGTGAGCCCGCAGGGCGGGTGCCAGGGCTCCGCGCGGTAGCGGGCGTCCGACGTGCTGGTGAACGAGGAAGGGGTCTCAATGAAAGCCAAAGACAGGATCAAGAAGATGACGAAGCTCAAAATCCTGCAAAGGGGACAAAAAAAAAAAAAAAGGTTAAAATGTGAGAACCACCACACTCCGGGCCAAAAAGCAGAGGGGCAGGCGGAACACCCAGAGAGGAGCAGGGCAGGTGCCCGGGTCCCCAGGGTGGAACCACACTTCCTGCTTTGTGGCCACTCCTGTGTGGTCAGATAACACTTATCAAGTCGAAACTCAATTGCCATGGCTGACCAGAATGTTCTGGAAGGGAACCCTCGCCAGAGAGGCCGTCCTGTCTACAGGCTGGCTCCTCTCCAGTACGAAGGGCAGACAGCACCTTCTCCACCATGGGGACAGGGAGCCTGCCTGCAGCCCGAGACCAGCCTCCCCCTCCCAGCCGGGGGCCCTGCACCCCCATGTGCGTCCTCACCATTGGCACACGTCCGAGTAATACCATCGGTAAAGCCACATCGACCTGGCATCCATGCGGTGGTTGATGGACCGATACTGGAAGTGAACAGTCACAGAGGAGAGCATGAGGGGGGTCCCCGCGGTGCCACATGCAGGCCCCCGGTGGGGAGACAGGCTGGGACTCGCAGGTGGACTTCAGTTCAACTCAGCACGGGGCAAGGTGCTCTATCATGACCCAGCAACGTCACTGTGCCAAGCTCTAAGGCTGGTCCGGCAGGAGAGAGCGCCCCGGGGGCCGGACCGCCAGAGCAGGCAGGTCCACTGAAGGGACACCCAATTTCTGAATGTACAGCTGTGCCCTCTGTGTGCAGGCGAGGCCCACACCTTACCCCCATGACAACTGTGCCACCCCCAGGACGCCCCCAGCCTAATTCCACATGTGGGGCAAAGCTCACTTCTATAGCCTACGTCCCTATTGGAGCCTGCGTGTCGTCTGCAGGCGGGGAATGGTCTCGCCATCTCCGGGCACCTTGCACAGGCCCGGGACGGCGCAGCACACAGCAGGTCTGCAGTGCGCGGTAAGCCGACACACCAGATGACCGGGGACCCAGGAGAAATCTCAGCGCCCACTTTCAGGAGGGACTCGAGGGGACTGAGCTCAGGGCCAGGCCACCACGGTTACGGTCCACCAACCTCGGACCTGGCTCCAGGAGGCAAGGGGTAAAGGGCCAGCAGAGCAGCCACCACCCACTCCCCACAGCCCGGGCGAGCCCGGGCACAGCCACTGGGCGCAGGTGCTGCCCACCTGGATCGCATCCTCGATAAAGACCACAGCCTGTTCCAAGCACAGATCCTTCCAGGCCGCACCTGGGAGCAGAGGGAACAAACACGCCAGGTGAGACAGGGAACACATGATGCTCCCCAACGCAGGGTGACAGGTCAAGGAAAGAACCTGGCTGCGTGCTTTTCCAAGGCTCCCGAGCGATGCCTTTCCCCCCACTGCGAGTCTGCACCCGCCCGGAAGACAGCCCCACCCGGCGCTGGGCCCAGTGCGTGGCAGGGTCTGAACAGGTAAAGTGTCTTTTCATCAGGTGCCAAGTACTCGGGCTCCCGCCCCGGGAAAGAAATGGAATCTCAGCCTGGGGAGATTAAAGGATTCAGCTTCTGAGATAAGAAGAGACAGGAGCCAGGGGCCCAGGCTCGCTCCAGGCCCAGGAAAGGGGTGCAGCTGAAGGGCCTCAGTCCCGGGCAAGCCATCACAGGCCAAGATTGTCCTGGGCACCCCAGGAACTGCCCAGAGCTCATCCAACACTCTCGCCTGGCTATTGGTCGTTGGTTGGTAGAATTCTGGGTGTGGCCTCCTGAGCTCTCCAGGTCCTGGGGCACCAAACCTCTGGAAGGCCCATCCCCCTGCTTTGCAGCCCCCAGCACCAGCCTCCCTCTCCCATCCTGCAGCAGCCAGAGGGATCTTGTCACAGACCCACATGAGCCCATCAGTGCTCCCTGTGTGTCCCACTGCTACAGGAGAAAGGCTCACCCCAGCCTGGCACTGCGGCCTCCTCTCCTGTTGCTTCCTCCACCCTGTGCCCTCCATGCCACTCACCCTGAACTTGGCTCCACCAAGGCCAAGCCCTCCAAGGCCTCCAAGCCCGTGCACAGGCCGTGAGCCCTACCAGGAGCACTGTCTTCTACCTTGCTGGCCCAGGGACTCATCACCCTGGGTGGCAATCACCTGTCTGTCGGCACCCCTAGCATCCCACTGGCCACAGCAGGTGGGAGTGTCGGGGTGAAGAGAGCACAGCAGGGGCCCAGACACTGCATCCCACCTTAGCTTTGGACCAGTCCCTGCGTGAAGCCTCCCCTCCGCCGACCCCAGGCTCCATGTCCCACGTGACCAGCACCCAGTGTGCCCTGGGCAGGCCTCTGGCCTCTCTGGTTCCTCGGAGACCCTACACCACAGGACTGACGCGCTGAAGTGCACAGTAACTTCGTGACATCTGCTATTATTCTTACTAAAAAGCCCCTTTCATAGCAGACAGATCCCTTGTCCCCTGACTTTTTCATAACCAGTAAGAACAAGAAGAGAAAGCGACTATCCTCACACTGTGGCCAGTAGGTGGCTGAGTCAGGACTCCACGGCAGGGTTCACCGGGGTCACTGGCGGGACACCCAGCAGCAGCAGGGCCCCACCCTGGCTGGTAGGAGAATCCGACTTCCGGACGCACAACCCTGAGCACAGGGCCCCATCCAGGAGCCACTCACCACTGCCCTGGGTCCCCAAGCTGGCCCAGCAGCCTGACAGGGAGCTCCTGTTCACATTCTCAGAAGCGCTCCCTGAGGCCAGTGTCTACAAAGAGCTCCGGCCCAGCTGGTGAGGCTCAGTGGACTGGGCGTCGTCCCATGGACTGAGAGGTCCTGGTTCAATTCTGGGTCAGGGCATCAGTCTCCAGTAGGGCGCATGCAGGAGGCAGCTGATGGATGTTTCTCTCTCACATAAATGTCTCTCTCCCTTCCTCTTTCTCTAAAAACTCAATGAAAACATATTTTTTTAAAAAGAGCCCTCCCCACGATCTCTACCGCGCGGGTCTCGTCTGCCGGGACGGCACTAATGGTACTCCTCCCAGAACGGCCATCAGCACCAGCTCCCCGGGCTGGCCGGCCCTGTGCTGTGGGTGTGCTGTGGCTTCCCTCCGACTCCTCAATGCCCCTCAGCAGCACCTGTAACTATGTCCCTTTTACTGAGACTCAGAAAGGTTAGGCAACCTGCCAAGGTCACACAGCCAGGAAGTGGCGCACAGAAAGGTACCCAGACCTCCAGAAGGGAAGTCCGTACTCCCTGAATGCCACCGTACATCCCTGTCCAGGGCCCTGCGAGGCCTGGCACAGGCTGGACGGAGAACTCTCCGGGGACAGTCTGGGATGGGCAGGCAGGCGGCCACCTCAGCCTCCAGTTGTCTCATCTCTCCTGTCAAGACTGACCACTGAGACTCCACGGCTGGGCACACACCACAGGCCCCTCCTGGACAGAGCAAAGTAAGCCAAGAGAGGGAAACTGACCCTGGAAGAAGTGCCCAGCATGGTGTGAAAGTGGCAGAACCAGGTCCCAGGGCTGTGACCTTGCACAGGTCCCAGAGGCTCTTTGGGACTCAGTTTCCTCCTCCATAAAAGGAGGCTGAAGCCCTCCAGGGAGGGATGGGCGCCCCTCTTGCAGCCCTCCTGCTGCCCCAGATTCAGCCAACTCTCTTCCGGTACACAGGAAAGCCAGGAGGGGCTGCGGAGGGCAAAGGGAGGAAGCTGCCTGGTCTGGAGCGGCCTCTCCAACCCCAAACGGAAGGGGATCAGCCACTGGGGAGCCTCCTGGGACCGGGAGTGAGGAGGTAGAGCAAAAGAACTTGCAAGTCACTCCGGGCTGGGCCACTTCTTGACTGGGTGACCTTGGGTGGGAGATGCCCGCTCTGTGCCTCAGTTTCCCCCGTAAGAACCGGAGAAATGGAACTGCTGCCTCGGAGGAGTCACCAGGCGACCCACGGAAAGGGACGTGGTCTGGGGCCACCCGGGGTACTCCGGGGCGGCAGAGGGCTGGCTGCCCCGGGCTGTTCGGACGGGGACGGGCGAGGCCGGCGGTGCGCTCTCCGCCCGGCTGGTCCGGGACAGGCAGACAGCCGCCCCCGGCGTCCCCAACTCCGCGCCCGGCGGGGGACGCCCTCCGGAAGGCGTCCGGCCCGCGCTGCCCAAGCCCGCTCGGACCTCGGCCGGCCAGGTGGGGCGCGCCCGCAGCGACAGCAGCGACACGGCGCGGGCCACGGGACCCCCGCGCTCCACCCCGCGTGGCCCGGCCCCCCCCAGGCCGCCGCTCACCAGGGCCGACTTGGACGCTGCAGCGAGCGGGTAAGCCCTCCGGGCAGCCACGCCCACTGCCGCCCCGGGCCCGGCTCAGAAGGGGCTCCGACTCCGCCATGGGGTCACCGCGCGCCAACGGGACCCTCGCAGACGCTCCGAACTAGAGCGCCGAGCTCCACTGCGCAGGCGCAGCGTCCCCGCCCCTGGAGTTCGGGAGACGAGACCAGCACTGTGACGTCGGGGGCGTGTCCTTTGCTACCAGCCAGTGAGGACGCAGTTCTCGCGTGTGGAGGCGGGTCTTCCAGGGTCCCGCCCCCCGGATTGTGGCGCTCAGCTTCCTTCCACCTGGGACCGGCTGCCAGAGTGGTTCAGGCCGTGCGGCTCGGCGGCGCTGGGCACTGGGTGGGAAAGCAAACTCGGGCCCTCCCAGACCTGAATCAGCGGCCGCGGGCGGTGCCTAGGAATCTGTTCTGCACGTGTGTTGGATATGTGGGGGTGACTACAAAGGACACTTCCCAAAAGGGAACTCTGATAGTGAAATTAGGATCAAATTTAATGGAGGGTGAAGTTTAAAAGACAAAGGACACACTAGAAAAATATTTACAAGTGTATAAAAAGCGTTTGCGATATTAATGTAGAAAGAGCTTGCCCTGGCCGGTTTGGCTCAAGGTTAGAGCGTCGGCCTGCGGTCCAGAGAGACCGCGGTTCGGTTCCCGCTCAGGGCATGTACCTCGGTTGCAGTTTGTCTCCGGCCCTGGTTGGGTTGTGCAGGTGGCGACCACTCCATGTGTCCCTTTCACGTCGATGTTTCCCTGTCTCTCTCCTTCCCACTCTATCTGAACAAAAAAAAATATATATATATATATAAAAAACGAAAATATGTCCTCGGGTGAGGATAAAAATATAGAAAGAGCTTGCTTTCTGTTGCCGCTGTGACGCGTTATCACAGACTTGGCCCCAAACAACTCCCGTTTACTGTCTCGCAGTCCCGGGGGGCAGAAGTCCAGCGGGGCTGCCAGGTTCTCGTCTCAGGAACCCACCAGGCCCAGGTCAAGGTGTCAGCACCTGGAACAGGCCCATGCAGGCGGTGGGCAGAATTCACTGCCGTGGGGCTAGGACTAGGTCCCCATTGCCGACTGTTGGCCAGGGGACATTCTCAGCTCCTACAGACCACGCGTCTCTTTGCTCATGGCTCCGTCCATCATCAGAGCCAGCAAGAGCACACTGGATCCTTCTCGTGCTCCGAATGAGATGCTTCCGAGTACCGGCAGGTGCCTGTGTCTCTCTGGCTCTCCCCGCTGCCGCATCTCTGCGTTCACGGCCTCGTGTGATTACACTGGGCCCCTCGGATAATCCAGGATCATCTCCTTGCAATATTTAAGATCAGCTGATTAGTAACTTTAATTACATCTGCAAAGTCCTTCGGCCTCTCGCCGATCATAACCACAGGCCTGATGCCAGCCGGTGAAGGTTATGGGGGCCAAAATTCTGCCTCCCAGAGCGCTTGGAAAAATCAGTTTAAAAAAATTGTTTTAATTCTCCATAGAGAGGAAAGGGGCCAAGAACATGAACCAGAAGTTCACAAAACAAGAAATATCAATGATGAATGCTTGAAACAAAGCTCCACCTCAGAAGAGATGCCAATTAAAAGAACAATGGGCCCGGCTAGTATGGCTCAGTGGTTGAGGGTCAACTCTGCACTAAGAGGTCGTCGGTTCGATTCCCGGTCAAGGCATATGCCCAGGTTGTGGGCCCGATCCCCAGTGGGGGGCATGCAGTAGGCAGCCAATCGATGTCCTCTCTCATGGATGTTTCCATCTCTCTCTCCCTCTCCCTTCCTCTCTCTCTAAAATTAATAAATAAAAATAAATAAATAAATAAATAAAAAGAACCATGTGAATCAGTGAGCACATCAGTTGGCAAATATTTGAAAGACGATACAGCTCCGAAGGCCAGAGTGTGGCCGTCCCAGGATGGTAGGAAGAAGTCACAGGATGTGTTCATGGGTTTGATCTTTTTTTCTTTTTTACATTTTAAAGTTTGACAAAAGTAAGATATTTTTATTCTGAAAAAAAAAAAAAGGAAATAATAGATACACACAGTTCTTAGCAACAATGGCCTATCCCCCAAGGACGTACCTTGTTGCAGGGAAAGATGTCCCATGATGTTTGGGTGCAAACTCACAGAGGCCCAAGCGGGATGTGGCACAGGCTACACATTTACAGGCTCCGTGGTGTTGGTGTCGACGCTGGTGTAAATACAGGGGGCTAGTGGGACCTCTCACAAAAGGGGAGATGGAAATACACTGTGACGGAGGGGCCCAGCTTGGTCCAGCAGATGTCCTTGGTGCAGCCAGACTGTCCCCGGTGCAGACAGACGCCCTCAGGGCTGTGTCCATCACTAGCTTTCAGTAAGTCGACCTAGGACTGGGGGTGCCTGCAAGGAGAGAAAGGGCCAGTGGGGGCCTCTGGCAGCTGGGTCCTCACAGCACTGGTTCTCCTGGGCACTGGGGCACTGGGGCACTGACTGAGTGGGCAGTGTGGAGGGAGCAGTGCTGACCTGGGAGTAAACTGGCCTCCACGTGACCATGACAACCCCCAAGCTTCATGGTTGACCACAACGCTTTTCCCCTCCCGGTTGTCCTGAGCCAGAATGTGGCTCCGCCGGCCGCCTCTGGCGCCCGGTCTCTCTCAGGCCGATGGCAGTGCGGGCCTGGGCTGCGGCCCCTCCAGGCCAGGTGGGTCCAGCCTTGCTCAGCAGCTGTTGGCTGGCCCAGCACCTCATGGGCCGTCGATCTAAAGGCTCAGTTTCTCAAAGGCTGTTGCCTAGAGGCCGCCCTCGGTTCCCAGCCCCAGGGGCCTGTCCGGGGGCAGCTCGGACACGGCAGCCCCTCCATCAGAAGGAACAGTGAGGAAGCCAGGGGGAGAGGACTCACACGATGGAGCCACCGTCCTTCCTCGCCTGGTCTCGGGAGAGACACCCCATCACTCTCGCCATGTTCTGTCAGCAGAGGCATGTCACCAGGTCCAGCCCCCGCCAGGGAGAAGGCATCACCTGCGGCAAGAACACCCGGAGGTGGGGGCCCTGGGGGTCATCCTAGAAGGGCACCTACCACCACAGGCGACAAGAAGGCTTTGTTTTAATGCCAGTGCCTGTGCCCCTGAGGTCACCTCCCACACCACAATCCACCCTGTGAGCTAAGACAACTGTCCCTCTCCTTGGGGCAGATGAGGAAACTGAGGCTGGAGGGGCTTCACGATGTTCCTCCCAAGATTGCATCACCCAGGGAAAACAGCCCTGGCCCCCCATCCACTGAGGCCGGAGCACTGGGTGGGATGAGCCCAGTGGGCAGCCCCCAGCACACCAGGCCTGGGGCAGGGCCAAGCTGGGCCTGGTGTGGGCTTGTCCTGCGGCCACGCAGCTCCTCCCGCGGGAGGCCAGCCCAGAGGAAGGACTGGCAAAGTCAGAGCCAGCGCCTGCAAGTAGATCAGAAAGGGGGTCCGCGGCAGGAAGTCCAGTCCCTGCCCTGTCCCCAGGCAAGAAAACAAACCTGAGATTCATTAGGGCACCATGTCCTCCTCTCTCCGCCCCCGCCCCACACACACCCCATAAATGAAGAACCCACCCAGCCCCCCGCAGCTGCCCGTGGTGTCCCCTGGAACCTGCAGTGGAGAAAGGCGTCCTCGTGGGGGGACGGCCGCCACCCGGTCCAGCCTGGAATCACTTCAGGCGGCCGCAGGGCCACCAGCTGAGGCTTGCGCCATGCGCAGAGTGTTTCCTCCGGAGAGGCACCAACCTCCCCGAGGTTGCGCCACACTTGGTCTGAATGTCAGAAATGCCCCCTCGGCTCCCAAGCCCGGGCCCTGAGCTGCCGGCAAAGCACCAAGGCCTCCGTGTTTGGTTCCCGCTTTGTTTCGTAGGGGAAATGACGGAAACCTCCTGGTGCGGCTGCGGGTGTGCAGGAGGTTCAGGAGGAGCCAGCCGTGCACCACTGCCTGGCGCACGGGCCACCACCGGCCACCACGCGGGCCAGCTCCACACCCTCCCTGTCGTATTCATTTCCTTCCTCGACGCGCCAGGCCCGCTGCCCACCGCGGGCTGGGCTTCCTCTGCACGGGCGTGGGCCCACGTGAGTCTTTCCGAAGGTAGCTCGTGGTTTTCATTTCCCTCACTCCATCATCCACGCATCCACCGAACGCCTACTACATGCCAGGAACGGTCCCGGGCACTGCTGACGGATACAAAACGTGCTCAGATGATTTCGAGCAGCACGTGGGACGTGGTAACATGGGAAGAGCATGGGCCCTGCACCCTTCATCTCTGGAGTCACACCCTCCCCACCCCATCCTCGTGAGCTCCGGCAACCCCAACTCACTGGGCCTCGGTTTCCTCCCACGAAACGGGGTTCGCAGCGAGACGGGGCCCACGGCAGGGCCTCAGCGCTGCTCCTGCGCTCTCGCCGCCTCCTTCTACATCACCTCTGGAGAAAAACGGCCCAGTGTGTTAAGGTGACAAAGGCTCCTCAGGTGCCGGTCACACTTCAGCCTCGAAATCACCGCCGAGAACAGCGCAGCAATTATCCCTCCATTGCTCTTGGGGAAACTGAGACTCAGAGAGGCCACGTGCTTTGCCCAAGGTCACACAGCGAGGGAGGGGCGCCGTGGCACGAAGCCTGGCCGGGGGCTGGAAGGACACCGTGTCTCGGAGCACGGCCCCGAGGAGCACACCCCTCGCCCAGGCCCTGGGGACGAGTGTGTGGAACACCAAATACTTCCCAGGACAGGCTGCACTTGCTATTTCGAGTTCTCTCACATGACACAAGCGACAGGAATCTGGGGAGACCCAGGTCACTGGTGGTGTTGGGAGCCGAGTTTGTGGCGGCAGCTAAGGGGGAGTGACTAGGGTCAGCAGGGTGGAGCCGGAGAGCAGAGGCCGAGCGCAGAGGCCTGTGGGGTGGGGGCTCGGCTCTGGGCAGAGGGCCCAGGGGAGCCTGGAGTGAGGGCCTGGGAGAGGCCAGCAGCCAGGGTGGCACCTGGGGCCTTGCCAGGTCAGACCAAGGCACGGACATCCTCCCGGACTGCCGGCCCCCGAGACGGGGCCTGAGGAGCTGGTGGGGATGGGGACCCCCAGAAGCAGGTCAGGGCCGGCAGGAAGC